GTGTGTGGTTTATATGTATACGTGATATGTGTATGTTGAGTATATATTTTGTATCGTATGTGCTAATCTTATGTTGTATGCAAGGTGTATGTATGTTGTATATCTCATTGTCGTTATGTCTTAGTTGTTCGTTGCATGGCGTGCGGATGGTGAGTATATCTGTGTATGGTGTGTGTTGTATTACGTGTGTTATGTCTCTGTTGGATATCGTGTTTTGTAAGCGCTGTCTATTTATATTCGTTCATGTGACGTTTGTCTATGAGCTTGTGCTCGGGGGTACCTTGTACGGCTGATTAAGCAAACATATGCGTGCGTGGATTAGTATGATTGAGAATTTGTGGTCTCAGTAGCGTGGGTAAGCCACGTGTCCGTATACGTTAATGTGCGTGTACGATGTGTTTATATTGGAATCCGTGCCGTGATCTTCAAATTTTTATACGTTTTATATGCATGGATTGTGTGTTTGGGGACTTAGATGTACAAATATCCTGTTTTCGTATACTTATACAAGCATTTACCCTGTTTTGTTTACTTATGGGTGTATTTGTACTGTGCTCACATACGTATATGTACATGTATTCTGATTGTGTACATTTTCTGTCGGCGCATGTTCTGGTCTTGTGTGTACCAGTGTGTTTACAACTGCCATTTTTTCCCTCACATCCAATTCCCCAAAACGTTCGTTCCATATCCTATTTTTTTTTTGGTATTTGCGTGAGTCAGTCCTAATCTGAATTATACGTTTACGTTCAGGTCAGGGCAGCTGTGAAGAAATTGGAGGTGCCTTTGACTGAAGAAGAAATACAGGCGGCTATAGCGGTGAGTGTGTCTATGAAGTAAAACATTACGCTGTATCCTCGGCATATTGAACCATGGGCATTGTAAACCTGAATATTATAAGCGCACATGTTACGTATAAACCGAGTTAAAATCTTAGTATCCGTATATTAATAGTACTTGCAATCCAAGTTAAAAGCTCAATAGCTTTAAACACATAGTTGTTATAAAACCTAGTTAAAAACTCAATATCCGTATATTAATAGTACTTGCAATCCAAGTTAAAAGCTCAATAGCTTTAAACACTTAGTTGTTATAAAACCTAGTTAAAAACTCAATATCTGTATATAACTATTACTTCTAAAGCAGTTTAAAAACTCAGTATCGGTTTTTGTATATGGCATAGGAGTGCCCGCCATAGATAAAATCATTATCGCATGTTCTGTGTGTTTGTTTCTATCTCCACACACATACAAACAAGGTCACACTTATCACATACTGTTGCACGCGTGTTCATATATCTACACACACATATTCTGGAGGCCTCATACATGCTTTGCATCTTGACATCCAGGCCAGAGAAGACATCATGAACATGGATGAGGATTTACCCGCTGACGTTGATCCAGAGGAGTATCGTAAGGACAAACTAGCGGATATGAACGAAACACTCACAGACGTGCTGCAAGAACAGAAGGAGGCTTTCCTAGTTGTTTTCCAGGTGTGTGTTTGTGTGCCGTCTGTGTATGCTATATGGAGATGATTGTATGGATATAAATACATATATATGTATCTAGATGTGAATTAAATATGTACCTAGATGTGAATTTATAGATGTATCCCTAGGAATTAATATCTAGGTATATATCTGAATATGAATATGCATATATATATTATATGTATACATACATATATATATATATATATATATATATACACACACACACACACA